TGTTTATTTTATATAGTTAGTTCCAAAATCTTATAGTAAAAGTTTCAATGTTCCAAATTTGCCTGGACCCTTAATTTGTTTATAACTTTCTTAAAAGTTCAAAACCTTATTTAGTTTTTTGCCTTTTATTTCAGATTCTTTAAGTTGTGAAACCTCTAGTTAATTTTTCTTTTGTTCAGAAATGTAGACAGACTAAACAGGTGGCTTTTCAAACTTGTGGTTCCAAAGATTTCTAGTAGCTTTAAGATGGTTGGATAAGCAATTTCCAAAAGTGATTAGAAAGTGAGGTTAGCAAACTTAGTGTCCTTTAAAAGGCTCCACTGCAGTTGTGAGCTTGATGACTGATCCTTTCATCTCCCAGTGCTAACCCATGGGAGCACATCAGGAGCACATGTGGGCAATCTCCCATCCTCTCCTTGTCCAGAGAGGTTCCAAAGAACCGGTCTGCTCATTGGTTCTTCAGTCTTTGCCATGGTCATTGTCTCTGCTCTCCCGGAGATGCGTTTAGCTTGCCTTGTCTCCCCCAGAAGTCCTCTTTATTTTTTAATTGTGATGGGATTGTTTTAGGCTAATACTATCATTTTCATCTAGCAGAAAATCTGTGGCTTCTAACGGTCATGGTCAGAGAGGGTTCTTAGGGCTACAAAAAGGGGACTCTGAGTCTTCCAGTTGCCTGCTCCTGCTTTCCATTAACCAGGCTAAGTGACATTCTATCCCAGGATTTATTTCTGCCTACTTTTGATAACAAGCTTGCTCATGTGAGGTGGGAGAGGATCTAATGCATTTACTGTTCATACAATTGAGGTCAAGCAATTTTAAGAAATTACTAAACACTTTATGCATATGCCATTTTTTTCTATTTACAGGAATATTTCCCAGTTTTTTGAAAAAGCAATTCCTTGATTATTTTATTTATTATTTGGTATTTATCTGTTACCAATATTTGTATGTTACCTACTCATATGACTCTTGGTGGCTTACAATATGCAGAGCTAAGAACAATCCAATATTAAGGTAAAATCTGTCACTGTCTTGATTAAAATTTCCTGTCCAAATGTCCTAACAGATGAGAGCTATCTTCACCTGTTTCATAATGAATAAAAGAGTTGGGGCCAACTTGACCTCTGAGGGAATCGTGTTCTATTGAAAATGTCATATTTCGGTCAAGAATCCTACCAGCAACTAGTGCACTTTCCACAAAATAGATGTTATTCTGCTGAATTGGCTGGCAGCGGTCAGCAAATGGGAAGCTGCATTCTGCCTGAAAAGCTGCTATGCAAATCTGGATGTTCTCCTTCATTTATGACTCCTGCTGGAACAGCAGTTGGAAGCCATGCCCCACTGAACCTTTGGCCAGCTTTAGTGGGTTCACTATTGTGTGCAATCCCCAGCCCTTACAGATCACTCAAAAGGATACCATGATTGAGGCTATCAAATGCCTCTTAGAGATTTAACCCCTCCAAGTCCCACTGCAGAGTATCAACACATGGGTTATTTGAGGATAGGGTATACCACTGCCTCTTTCAAGGCAGGCAGCATCACAACCTCTGCCAAGGACACATTCCTGTATTCATTCCATCATGCCCTCAATGGCAGCATATACCATCCAAGAGGGGCAAAAAGATCTAATTTGTAGCTTGTCTCACACAGGATTCTGGCTACTTCTTTAGGTATTACAGACTCAGAAGAATTCCAGATAGTCTTGCAAGATGATACTGTATCATGTCATGAAACTCTACCCATAAGGTATCCAACTCAGGGCAAAAATAAGTGATTTTGTCCTCCATGTACTTGACCATAGGCACAACAGGAGGGCCTTCTGGTATCCCAGGGTTCAAAAGTGAGCATGTCACAACAGACTTATGGGTTCATGGGTTGACCCAGGATGCAGTGTGCAAGACACTAATTTCCCTCTTTTTATTAATACTGTATAGCAAAGCAAGTCTTTTTTCACATTAAAAAAGTTTCATCACCCTAGTGACTGCTATAAATTCTACTTTTTAAACATTTATTTATTTACAGTGTTTGTGAACTGCCCCAACCAGAAAGACTGTGCCCAGTATCCAACTAGAAAAACTGATACTACAAGAAATCAAGTGTAAATAATAATCAATACCAAATATTTAATAAGATGACTATCAAAATCACTCCACAAGCCAACAAGTCAGTTGCTAAAATAAAGTGGATTTAGGGCCTTCATGAAAGCAGGGAAGGTCAGGGCCAGATGCTCTACTATGATATTGCATATGAAATTGGACAGGTTTGTGGTGTTCTTGCCTGTAATCTCACCACCTTTAAGCTGGGGGGTTAGGTACACAGGGTCCTTTGAAGGGCAACATGTAGTTTGTACACATATAGTCTGTTCTAGATCCTTGCTCAGATTTTGCAGTTAGCTTTATCATATTAATATCTGAACTGTGTGTTAAACTTCAGTCTGTAAAACTAGGGAAATACAGCATCTTTTAGCGCATTGAAATCTTTAGATCTAGGCCCTTATTTCTTTTATATGTTTGTAATTGCAGAACAGATTTCATAATAACAGCCAGCCATGATGGACATGTCAAATTCTGGAAGAAGGTAGAAGAAGGAATTGAATTTGTTAAACATTTTCGTAGCCATTTAGGTAAATTATTGTATATCTGCATAGTATAATTTTTATATTGCCTATTTTTCTTCCTTTGTTCTCTCACCTATTAAATATCAAATTTTCTATACTAAAATGTTATTATAAAGATATTTGTCCATCTTAATTAACTTTAAGCTTTTTCTTGGATAACAGTCTGTCTCTTGATTTACATTACTCAGGAGAAGCAGACAAAAATTAATATGCCAATCCCAGTGAGAGATTGGAAAGATTATATTCTGCAAAATACACCAGACTTCTGAGAATTTTCTTTTGAATATCTCAGAATCACATACAAAGCACTTCTGAAAATTGGCTTTTCAGGACTGTACCTGAAGCCATGCAGTGAGATCAGAAAATTTCAGTGGTCCTCAAGTCTCTGTGTATTGTGATCTTTGGATACCTGCCATACAGCAGTATTCTACACAGATCTATTCAGAGGTTTAATGAGAAGTATTCTGAGGTAGCCTGTGTAGAATTATAGCCTTAGACATCTTTGAATGTTTATGATAAAATTCATTCTTAAGCCTTTTAGTGAGTTTGTTCAAACATTTTCTCAAATAAAATTTATTTTCTAGCTGGAGAATACTTTCTTTGTTTTGGTTTAATCACAATAGGTGTTATTGAAGGCATCGCAACTAGTTCAGAAGGGGCACTGTTCTGCTCTGTTGGGGATGATAAAGCAATGAAAGTTTTTGATGTGGTGAACTTTGACATGATCAACATGTTGAAACTTGGGTAAATCAATTTAATTTTTGCAACTGTCCTGATTTGATTGCCTTAGTAGCTTTAGAATATTTTTGCCTAAAATATCATTAGGAATTGATTGATCATTAGGTTATGATTAATAAGTTAACTTTTCAGTATATCTTAAGTCAGATTGCACAAAATCAAAGGCGATATATTGTTGTTATGGGTTTACTTAGTCGTTTTTGGTAACCAAAGAATTATAGTAAGCTTAATGGCTTACATGTTTCTGCCGAAGAAAGGGAAACAGCTATGCCTGTTTGTGCATTTCAGGAAATGATGGCCATCAGAAGCACATGCTTACTTTGGTGAGCTTACCAGCACTCCTGAATATATGCAGAGTTGGGTTGCTATAAGGATAAAATGAATGGCAGGATATATGTATATGATTGAATAACTAAAATATTTTATTGTTAATGAGGCTATAGTGTATTGTACTTTAAATATTCCTTATTTTTCAGTACATTTTGATTTTTGTAGTTTTTAAAATTTGTTGTGGAGTGTTAAAAAGAGTCCTAATATTATATCCATCTGATTATTCTAGCTACCATCCGGGCCAGTGTGAATGGGTGTACTGCCCAGGAGATGCTATCTCTTCAGTTGCAGCCTCTGAGAAGAGTACTGGAAAAATATTTATATATGATGGTCGAGGCGATAATCAGCCGCTTCACATTTTTGATAAACTACATACGTCCCCTCTTACTCAGATACGATTGAACACTGTTTTTAAAATCATCGTATCTTCTGACAAGTCTGGAATGATTGAATATTGGACTGGTCCTTCCCATGAATATAAATTTCCTAAAAATGTGAACTGGGAATATAAAACAGACACCGATTTATATGAATTTGCTAAATGTAAAGCATATCTAACCAGTATAAGTTTTTCCCCTGATGGCAAAAAAATGGCTACTATCGGCTCTGACAGAAAAGTCCGGATTTTCAGATTCTTAACAGGAAAACTTATGCGCGTCTTTGATGAATCTTTGAGTGTAAGTATTTTTTCCCATGTTTATTCACTTTCCAATAGCTTATTTTAATTCTTTCAATGATGAGATTATTTGTATATGATTATAGGAATTAATTTGTAAGAAATGAATTTTCATTTTTACATTTAGCCTGCAGCATTTTTGTGTCATTGGTATTCAGTAAGTTAAGATGGCTTCATTTTCTTTTCTTTTATACTTTTCAAAAGTGTGTGGATTACTAAATTGCGGTAGAGATTCTAATGGCTAACCCTGTTATATTTAACACTTTGGAACAAACGTTACTGAAAATGTATATCATAAAATCATTGAGTTGGATCTGATCTTAGAGGGCCTTTAGTCCAGGCCATAGCTCAATGCAAAATCTATGCAAATAACTTCTTTGAAATATTAATGTATTTTCTAGGGTTTTTTTCCTGCAAGACCGCTTTGATTCTTTGATTAACTAGAATAACACAATTTCGTGTATGAGCTGATTTATGGCAAGATAAATTAAAGAATAAAATAATTATAACTAATACAGAAATAGTAATTCTAACAACTGTCAATCCTCTCCAGAAATTATTAAAATCAAATAGTACTGTTGCAGTACTGTTACTATGATAGTAAGAGACATACTGATGATAGTTGGCATCTTAACTAAATGCCCTTTCAAAAGCTCAGTTTTCAAGGTCTTTCTAAAACTCAGGCTTAATGGAACCATTTGAATTTTTGATGGAAGGCTGATTCATAGGGTGGATGCCAGTACTGAGAAACAAGAAGATCAAGCTTTCCCCTGGACCTCACATATTATGCAATTATGTAAAGTCTCACATTAAAATAATTCTGTATTTTTTTTACACACACACACACACACACACACACACAGTATATAAAATGTATGTACATAATCTCTCACACTAAAACTTTCTGCTTCAAGGACAGTTTGGGCATATAGTTAATGGCAACAACAGGTAAATGCATTGACAATACTGAATTAACAGTGGCAAATATTTGAGAATTGTGCTTGCTTGATTAATTATAATTAATTAATTATAATAATTATAAGCCATTTTATTGTAGTGTTTATATATGTATATGTAATGAAGCTCAAGCTCAGATACTTTGGTCACCTAATGCGAAGAGAGGACTCTTTGGAAAAGACCCTGATGCTGGGAAAGATTGAAGGCAAAAGGAGAAGAGGACGGCAGAGGATGAGATGGTTAGATAGCATCACTGAAGCAATGAGCATGAAACTGAGCCAACTCAGGGAGGCAGTGAAGGACAGGAAGACCTGGCGCAATATGGTTCATGGGGTCACGAAGAGTCGGACACGACTTAACGACTGAACAACAACAACAACAATAAACAATACTATACCCTTGATTGTGTTAGGCATAAATAAAATTGATAAAATAGTAAAGGCTTGTTAGGTTACATTTTTCTTATGCTAAATGGCCGCAATATGGTTCATGGGGTCACGAAGAGTCGGACACGACTTAACGACTGAACAACAACAACAACAATAAACAATACTATACCCTTGATTGTGTTAGGCATAAATAAAATTGATAAAATAGTAAAGGCTTGTTAGGTTACATTTTTCTTATGCTAAATGGCATGTTTCTGTAGATGTTTACTGAGCTACAGCAGATGAGACAGCAACTACCTGATATGGAATTTGGACGACGTATGGCTGTGGAGAGAGAATTGGAAAAGGTTGATGCTGTAAGATTAATTAACATAATTTTTGATGAAACTGGACATTTTGTGCTCTATGGGACAATGCTGGGAATTAAAGTTATCAACGTGGAAACAAATCGGTAAGTTGAGATTCTGGTTATTTAATTGTAACTATAATGATTGTGTATTGTTTAGGAAGCTTTTCCAGAGACCTTAAAAAAAAAACACCTTTTTTCTTTACAAATATATAAAGTCAA